TGTTAGCTATTATTTTGTCCAGTGTTTTCACAGCAATTGAGTGAGATGGGTCGGTAGGAGGCGATATCAGTCTTATCTTTTTCGGGCTTTAGTATGGTTATAATCAGGGTGGTTTTATATGACTGAGGTATGTGATTATTGAAGATCTGGTTGAAGTGGGAAAGTATTCTGTTTTGAACTGTTTTTGAGCTGCTTTTTAACATCGGGTATGATATTCGGTTTATTTCTGGTGTTGTGCCTTTGAGAGATTGGAGAGCAATAGTTAGTTCGATTTTGGATATGGGTTTGTCTATTTCTGTGGCTGAGGTGGATGGTGTATGATTGAGGACTATTGTTTTGTATTTATGTGACGTAAATTCCTGACTGAAGTTTGTGTCTTTGGAGAGATTGAACCAGTGTTCTGCGAGAAGGGTGGTTATTTTGTTTTTGTCATTGGTAGATTTGTTGTTGTTGATTTTTATGCAATGTATTTGCTTTACAGGGTTAAGACCGCAAAATCGCCGTATGTTGTTCCGGATTTTAGTTGTAGGAGTGTTTGTTTGAATGGAGGATGTGAATATGGTTGTGGAATCTTTTTTTTATTAATAATTTTGATTTCTCTCTTCAAGAGTGCGTTTGCTTTCCTGTATGCTATGATCGTTTCTTGGGTTGTGTGTCTTTTTAGTGCTTTTCATGTTTGTTTCTTTATTATGTGTAGGTCTGCTAACTTTTTATTCCACCAAGGAACTGTGCGTGAGTGTCTGTTTAGTAATGTCTGTGGTATTGTATGGTGTGCGCTTTGTATAATTATTTTGTTAATTAGTGCTGCTTCGTTATTTATGTTGGATGATGAAGGGTATAGGTTGTTAGTGTTGTGTGTGTGTATGGCAAATTTTATCCAGTTTGCTTCATTTGTTTTAAAAATTGGTTTTCTTTTGTTGATAATGGTGTCGATCGGAAAGAGTGTAATGAGGATTGGGAAATGATCACTTCCATAAAGGTCATCTATCGGGTTCCAGGTTGTGAGCGGTGTGGGTGAAGGAGAACAGAAGTGGGTGAAGAAGTCTATGTGGGTGAAAGTGTTGTGTGTAGTAAAGTGTGTTGGTGATTTATTGTTTAAAAGGGTAAGTTGTTCGATAAATTTTGCTATTATTTTGCCTCTTGTGTTCGATTGTGGGGGCCCCCAGTTTTGATGCCAGCTATTAAAATCTCCTGTTATCATGACTTATTCGTTGTTGATGTTCAGTACGTTGTTGTTTAGATTATTTCGTGAAAAAGATTTGTTGGGTGAGATGTAAATGGAGTAAATTTTAAATTTTTGTTTGGATTTTATTTCTGCTGCTATTGCCTTCATGTCTTCATTAATGTTGATTTGTGTGTGCTGAATTGATTTGTGGATTAGCTGGGCTACTCCTCCAAATCTGTTAGATGGAATATTTGTTAATATATTGTTGTTTATTGGTGTCGGTAGGTTGTGAGAGTGTTGAATGTTTGTTTCTTGTAGTGAGATAATGTGTGGAGTGTGTATTTTGGTGAGTAGTAGTAGTTGGTTGAAGTCATTTACATAACCCTTTATTTTCCATTGCAATATTTTTAAAGACATAATTTAAAGATATTTTTGTGTTTGTTTTATAGCGTTCGGGTTGTAAGAGTTAGGTTTTTGGTCTTTAGCTTTGAGTGTTTTAGTTAGGGCAGCTGTATCTTTGGTTTTGCTTCTGAGTACGCGGTCGCTTGTCGATATCGAGGGGATTTGTGAGTTGTGATCAGTCAGGGAGTTCATTTCTTCATCATTTTTCATTTTTTGCTTTAGCCTGTTCGAGTTTTTTGTCTAAATCTTTAAGTGCATTTTCTATTGTTCTTGAGTTACAGTTGTTTTCTTCTTTGTTTTCGATTTGGGGTTCTTTTGCTTTAGGGGGGCTTAATGTTGGTGTTGAGTTTTTGAGGGTTTCGGAGTAAGATGTTTCTTGGGTTGGGTTGTGGCGTGTATAGTATATAGAACGGGCGGTTTTGTGGTCTACCTTTTCGGTGATCCTGATGGCTATAAGCTCCTGTTCCATAATGAAAAATGGGCACTTTTTGTCCATGGAGGAGTGGTTGTTTTTGCAGTTAATGCATTTCGGTGCCAGTCTACATTCAATATTATCGTTTGTGTGTGTGGTTTCTGAGCAGTTTTTGCATGTAGGGCTATCTTGTTTGCAGTATGTTTGAGGGTGGTTGAAACGAAGACATTTTCTGCATTGCATTGGGCGTGGTATGTATGGGCGAGTGAACACGACTTCGTAGCCGATCATTACCTTTTCTGGGAGATTGGTTGAGGCAAAAGTTAGTGTAATCGTTTTTGGTCAACCAATTTTGTCCATTTGTAGACTTCAGAAACTTTTTGGGATCTTAGCTCCAATAGAATTTCTTCTTCAGATATATTTCTGAGCACATTACAATATATTACACCCTTGGTCTCGTTTAGGCTCTTGTGTTCTTTCGCTTCTACGTCTATTTCACCAATTTATTTAACTTTAAAAAGTACTAAAAAAAGTGTCGGCTTGTTGGGTGTTTTTTGTTTTCACTAGTAGTGTTCCTGCTCTTGTTAGTTTGCATTTTTCAAATTCACCTCCACAGATGTAATCAACTCATTTTTTTTTATAATGAACGGATTTGCAGTTTCTAGGGATATATTTTTTAAGTTTAGTTTTTTTAAGTTATTTTTAAGTTTATTTTTGTCTGGCGGTACCATATTGGTGTTGTCGGGGCGAACCCCTGCTTGTGGTTGTTGTGATCACGTGTTGTTAGTTGCTAAGCTAAGCTAAGAGGAGTTAGTAAGGAAATTTAAAATTCTATATTTTAAATTAGAGGGACAGGAATGAGATATAATAGAGTAGAGACCATTGTAGTTCGAACATAATACCCTAAAAGGGTCATGCAGTGCATATGTCGAACTACAACGGCTAAGGAACAGAGGACTAAAGTTTCGAGTCCTTCTATTAGGAATGTTAAAATTTAAGCGTGATAGTAAATGCTGGCTATCTACATCCCCGTTAATAAGGTTATGCAGAAAAACTACACCGAGCATTGTCCTACGATTTGTTAAGCTAGGTAAGTTTATGAGTAAGAGTCTACTATTATAAGATGGAAGTTGAAGATTTGCATCCCAGTTTAGACCTCTACGTGAAAAAGTTAGGCAATTCTTTTGTACGGATTATATGCGGTCCTGATGTACTCCATATTGGGGACTCCAGACACATGAACCGTACTCCAGTATAGGACGGACCAAAGAAATGAATAGTGTTTTGGTTATATAGGGGTCATTAAATTCTTTTGACCACTTTTTGACAAAACCAAGGACTCCTTTAGCCTTATTAACCATTAAAGAAATATGGTCGGCAAATTTAAGTTTTATGTCTAATAGGATGCCGAGATCATTAACCTCAGTAAATTTCTCTGAGGCAATCCCATTAATAGAATAAGTAGCTTGCAGAGGGCAAGAACGATAAAAAGACATATGTTTGCATTTAGATCCATTAAGTAATAGATCATTAGCTAAACACCATTTTTGAAAAATATCAAGGTCAGACTGAAGACTGCATTGGGCAGAGATGGATTTGTACTGAAGACAAAGCTTTACATCATCTGCATACATAAGAACTAGAGAGTTCGTTAAAGCAGGGGGCAAGTCGTTTATAAAAAGCGTAAATAATAACGGGCCAAGAACTTGGTACAGATTATATTTTCGGTTAGTTAATCCGACCTACAAAATTTCATAACGATCGGCCAATCGTATATATCTTATAGCTGTCGATAGCTTTAAAACTGAGAGACTAGTTTGCGTAGAAACAGACAGACGGACATGCTCATATCAACTCAGGAGGTGATCCTGATCAAATATATATAGGCTTTATGGGGTCGGAGATGTCTCCTTCACTGCGTTGCACACTTTTGACCAAAATTAAAATACAAAACATTTTTACGCCGTCGTGCGAGCAGTCGCACATACATACAAAGGTTCACATTTTTGTTGACGTTTACATGTAAAAGAGTTCTAAAAATAAAATCGTATGCATGTGCGTTCCCCCCTCACCAACAAGCTCGACGAAAAAAGTTGACCGTTTAGGGCCCTGATGTCCCATCTATGTACTTCATAATCTTTGGTAAAAGCATGCACATTTAGTATGGGTAACACTTTGACATGGCTAACAAACGATGGTAACCTGTGATGAAATCGGATTATTCCACTATTTCAAAGAGCAAACCGATGGCATATTCATATAGTTGATATGAGAAGTTGGTATGAGAATGTCCGGGTGTCTGTTTCTATGCGAACAAGTCACTCAGTTTTAAAGCTATCGAGGTGGAACTTTTCGCACACCCTTTTTCTTCTTTACACGTGTATAAGTCGGAACGTCCAGAATTGTCCGTCTTATCTTATTGTTGCCATATAACTTTTTCATGGGAAATACTATACTTTTGTTTTGTTGAAGATAGGAAGGATAGCAGGAAACTTTTTTTTACATTTTGTATTCTAATAAATTGGTTTCATAATAAAATTCTCATGTTGATCAGCCAGCTAAATATATCCGATGTTTGCGATTTTTATTTGATTCCGAGTTTTGATTTTCTTTCTTGTTTATTCTAAATATTTATACTCCAATTTAGACCATACCATAAAAACTAAATTGGACTGTGACGTTAAATTTAAATATAAAAATCGAGAAAAAAATTCAATTTTCATATAATTTGTAATGTTAATAGTGTGTGAATAGTGAATATTAATTGAGGAGTTGTATTGATATAAATTGTATGATATTAAAATCGTTTAGCTGAAGATATCATTAAAGACTCGCAAACGATCCGTTTTCGAGCTATCGAATACGAAACTATTTCTGCCACAGACTGAGCGACCAGACAATCGTTTTTTTTTATAGTGTTTAACGTTTTAATTTCACCAAACTATCGTTTTTTATTATCTTGTACAAAGTTTTAATCCACTTTGTTTAAGTATTTATTGTTTAGATTAGTTTTTGTGTTACCTGAAATCGTTGAGTTATGACTTCTAGTTGCTGCTTTGTAATTTTTGTTTGCCTTTTTGTCATATCTGTGGGCTGTTTCGCGTTAAAGGGGTATGAAATACATCTTGATATAAATACATAAAGTTGAATTCGACGTTTCCGCTCTTCTTCCTCGCGTTCATGTTTGTCCTGAAATAAGTAATAATATGGTAACTTTGAGACGGCAAACGATTAAAGAAAAACTCTTTCTAAGATGTTGAAAAACTCCTAATAAGCCACCGTAAAATCATTTTCAACTTATATTTGGATTGTGTAGCTATTGCTCTAGCCACGCAGCCATTGCTCTAGTCCAGTGGTCGGCACGGCCCTATCCCGAGTTTTTTTTACAGAAAAAAATTTTAAAAAATATGACAAAATTACAATACTATCTGTCGGGTCAGGCAGCAGCACAGCGGATTAATGTTTATGTTTAAATAATGTTTAGTGTAATTTTTATACCCTTTCAGAGGGTATTATAATATTGGTCAAAAGTGTGCAACGCAATGAAGGAGACATCTTCGACCCTATAAAGTATATATATTCTTGATCAGGATCACCTCCTGAGTTGATATGAGCATGTCCGTCTGTCCGTCTGTCTGTCTGTTTCTACGCGAACTAGTCTCTCAGTTTTCAAGCTATCGTCTTGAAACTTTGCACACACCCTTCTATCCTTTGCACGCAGTATATAAGTCGGAACGACCGGAATCGGCCGACTATATCCAATAGTGCTATCTAACTGATTGATCGGAAATGGTATAACTTTGGTTTTTTAGAGTTAGAGAGTTCAAATGAGAGCTATGAGCTATTTGACATGAGAGCTATTTTTGGCAAAACAATATTTTAGAGGAATGAAATTGAGGCTGGGTTTGGCTGGAAGACACTTTGGAGATGTGTGGCGAATGTTTCAGCTCGGTCTTCGTCGCTGCGAGCCCAGCATCCCGAAGAGTTTCTTATCGGGGTGGTCGTTTCAATTGGGGCGCTAAGATTTGGGTGGGCCCTCCACCGGGGGTACTTTGTGCTTGTTGGCGAGAGATTCTGGATGTACCTCAGCTGTGCATTTTCTTCCTGTTGGTGAAGAGCCTGGTCGAGTGATCGGGTTGCTTACTTAAGGCGTTGTTTTGAAGCTCTGTGATCTGCTGGTGATCTGCTGTTTTGCCAATCACGACGCGTGCGCCTCTTTTCTCGCACGAGCTGTTCGATTTGCTGATTAGATTTGAAGTGTTTGTTTCGGTTTACATCTGGGTCTTTCCTATGAGGAGTAGAGATTTTAGCTGCCGCAACGAGTACTTCTTCCAGGGCGCTCCAAGTGTAGTCGATGTCCGATTCCATGTTAAATTCCGGGGCGAGTTCTATGTGGGCACTCACGTACTTTGTGTATTTTAGCCAGTTCGTTTTTGTCGTCGTCAGGCTGAAGGGGTGTTCGGTTATTTCTGGGCTTTGAATAAGCGTTAGAAGCACAGGCGAGTGGTCTGATGATAAGTCCGAGACTGCTTTGGTACTTATTAGATTGAGAGGTATTTTTTTTGTCACTGCAAAATCAATAAGTTCTGGGAGCTTTCGTGAGTCTGTTGGCCAGTATGTGGGACTTCCAGGGGAAACGTAGTCCAGTTTTTTTTTCACATTTATAATTGCATTGTACAATTGTCTTCCTTTGGGAGTCACTAGACGTGATTCCCAGTTCGTATGTTTGGCGTTGTAGTCTCCTGCGGCTATAAATCGGTCCCCAAGTGAATTGTAGAAGTCCATAAATTGTCCTTCCGAGATTGAGAAACGAGAAGGGCAGTAAACGGCAGCGATTGAAAGGATTCCGTTGCTTGACTGAATTTGTATCAATGTGGCCTGCAAGAAGTTTGTTGCAAACCTTTTGTGAAAGTGGTTTTTGATGCGTTACCTGATTAGAACTCCAGTTCCGCCGTGGGCTTTTCCATCTGGATGATCTGTGCGTTTCCACCAGTAGCATAACGTCAATATGGTTTTCGGTCAAGAATTGTGACAATTCTAGTCTATGCCGTGAGACACCATTGGCGTTCCACATTGATATTCGTAGTGCCTGCATAGATTATTTAAAGTGTTGTGCTACGAGCAGCTGTATTACCATGTTCTGATTTTGAACAAGCGTTTGCATGGTCGTTTTCACGAATGACATAAGCTCCATCATACTTTGTTGGAGGTAAGCATCATAGTTTCTGTTTTGCTGTGTGGCTGTTCTGGGGCCTGTTGAGCGCTTTGAGAGTTAGGCTGAATTGGAATTTCCCTTCCAGATCGTAGAGCATCGGCATAGGAGAAGCCGTTGGTGGTGTTTAGTGGACCGAAGGAGGATCTCGCAGCTTTGGCGAAGAAGACGTCTGGCGTAGTTTTTGACGCAATGTACGCATTCTGTGGATTTGAGTCGCTTGACGCATGCGACTCTTTAACTTCTTATACACCATACATCCTCTATAGTTTGCCGTATGGCTGTTTCCGCAGTTTCCACATTTCTTCACGGTACTGTCCTTGTTTGTCCTAGTGCAGCAAGCGGACTTGTGGGCGTCCCCGCAGACAACACAGACAGCCCGAAGTGTGCAGTAAGACCTTGTGTATCCATACTCTTGACAGTTAGTGCATTGCACTGGACCGTTGCGTTTATGTGGCTCTTCAACAATGATTTTTCGATGCAAAAGATATTTCAGGTTGAAGATTGGGTGGACTTCGTTCTTCTTCAGCGACCTGCTTTCTGGCTCGGGCTCGACCTTGAAGAGGGGTTGTGGCTTTTTGTCTTTATTTAGAATGTTAATAACAGTCTTGGCGGCGAAGCCCTTTTCTTTAAAGGCGGTTTTAATTTCCGCGGCGGTAACATCGGGTTCTATTCCCTTTACTACCACTTGTAGGCCCTTACTGCTTTTCAGCTGGTACGTGTAATGGTTTTTCTGTTCAGGGTCCAGATATTTGGACACGATTAGGAAGTGCTCTTCAGTCTTGGCTTGCACCTTTCTTTCATGGATGTTCCCTTTGATAAGCGGAACAACATGAAAGTTGTCACCGTTCCCGATCAACGACGAAATTTTGTTGACTCGAGCTTTTTTCCCTAATATAGATTGGAGGGGGCTTGGGTTTTTTTGCGGTGTCTTGGGCTGGTTTTCCTCAGCCTCCGCCAGTAGGGCAAATCTGTTAGTAGTGGATCTGTCTGGTTCTTTATCGATATTCAGGACATTTTCAGGATTAATTTTTGTTTTATTGCCTGCCGGATTACTCTGCGGGCTAAGCTTGCGCTTAATTTGGATGTAGCGATCCATTCCAGTCTATGTGGCCGTTGCCGCTTTGGCACTTTCCGAGGTTGTTGTTTTTGCACTCGCTGTAGTCGTGGAAGTCGCGGTACTTTGAGTTGCAGAGGTTTTCGCTGTTGTTGCAGAAGTTGTAGCGCTGCTAATTGTTGGTGCGAAATTTGTTTCCGATATTGGAGGGGGGGTTTTACACTTCGAACTCCATGACGCGGGAGTCGGAGTGAGCAGAGCGGGTGAGCAAGACCGTGCCCTTTGGGTTTCAGCGGTCAGTAAAGCCGGGTTGCTTATAATCGCCGATTTTTCCACTTCGGTATCGCGGGTTCCACTTCGGTAAAGTAAGAGTAGAAGCCGTTTCTTTGGTTCACTGAACTTCTACGCTCGTTCTTTTGATCGTTGCTCAATGAGCTCATTGCGTGGCTCTTATTTTTTTTTGAACAATGCCCTAGTTTTGGGTTAGCACATCACAACTGTTATAAAAAGCTTGTCTGTCGCTTTTAGTAAATTGTAGTTCAGCGTCTTTTCGCTTATTTACCCCAGATTACCCCAGATTTTTGATTACCTGTATTATGGTGCAGTTTTCCCGGAGCTCGGACAAAGCACGTCCGCTCAGTTCGGTAGTTCGTATAGTTATGATATATATATATATGAAATAAATATATATGAAATAATATATGAAATAAATAAAATTTTGGTGTTGTTTTTTTTCGATTTAATCGATGTTTTGTTTTTAAACATTGAAAATAATCGATGCACTGAGAATCGATTTTTTCCCAGCTGTAGCACTAACCATACAGCGTAAAGACTACCCATTTCATACAACTGGAATTGGATTGGATGCAAAAATTTTATGCGACAGGCCCCAGAGAGAGATCTTACCCTCTCTTATGCTCATCTTTTGTTCATCTTACGCTCATACTCTTATTAAATGTTTTCTGTTTTTCAGTCTCTGAAAAAAGCTCTATGAAAAAGGTAGGTCTGCGCTTCGATTGATCTTTATATATATGCGTGTCACACATTCACATAAACGGGTGCATGTGAGCGTGCGATTTTATTTCGAAGCCAGCGTACACAATTTTTTATTGTTCCAACTTTTCAGGCTTGCTACCCTAAGAAAATTCAGATATTAGTTATTGGGTGAAATGCCGAAAGAAATTATATTATTTGTTTAATTTTATTTAGCGTTTGGTGGGTCTCGACTCGATAGATGAAATTGTCTATAGTCATCCCATCTGGACTTCCGCTAAACCTGATATTCCAGCTGTTAAGAATGTGTCCAACCTTGACGGGCCGATATGCTAGGCTTAAGATTTTTTTTTTTTTTTACGGGTCTTTTAGAATTTGGAAATGGCTTGTGCATCAATAAGAGCATCAGCTAGCATTCCTGTATTCATCAAAAAGCTTAGAGGCCCAGACGACCGAGGGGCGCTCGAGAAACGATTTGTTAGTACATATGAAGCTATTTTTAACTTGTTAAGCTAGGAGGAGATAGTAAGAAAATGTAAAGTTCTATATTTTAAATTAAAGGTTCCTGTCCCTTATAGAGATGTTATAGAGTAGAGACCATTGTAGTTCGAACATAATACCCTAAAAGGGTCATGCAGTGCATATGTCGAACTACAATGGCTAAGGAGCAGAGGACTAAAGTTTCGAGTCCTTCTATTAGGAATGTTAAATTTTAAACGTGTTAGTAAATGCTGGCTATCTACATCCCCGTTAAAAGGGTTATGCAGAAAGACTACACCGAGCATTGTCCTACGATTTGTTAAGCTAGGTAAGTTTATAAGTAAAAGTCTGCTACTGTAGGATGGAAGCTAAAGATTTGCATCCCAGTATAGACCTCTAAGTGCGAATATTAAAATATTAAAAAATTAAACTTCAGACACATGTACC